GCTCTCTTGCTTTTTGGGTAACTAGAAATCCGTCATGGGGCGTTTGTGTGTTGGGTTTCTGTCTTTTTTGCTGCGCGTTGAGCAGCAAAACCTGCGGACCTGGTTGTGATGAACATGCTGAGGCATATGCTGCCCCAGATAAGGATCAACCCCCGCGCAGCGCGGTGCCAAACCCAGCCAGAGCACGTCACCTTCTGCTGGACACGCTGATGGTCACCTACAGTGGGGCTGGGAGAGGCTAATTTGGGAAGGCCTTGTTTTGCTGCTGGCAGGGTCGTCCTGATTGAAAGGGACTTGAGAGATGACCCAGTGCAGGTTTCTGACCCTCTAATCTCCCAACAATCTCTGCAATCGGAGTGAAGTTAATAATGATCGTTTCTGGAAATTGCAAAAGACTGTTAGTTTCAAAAGACTGAAAAAGGAAATGGCTGAAATGAGTTTTAGTTCTATCCACCCCCCAATGTCAGCTGCCTTTTGCAACCATCGGTTGTTCAGTTTGCAGGGGGAGGCCATTTGAAAGCTGCCCCAGCTTCTTCTTCTCACGATTATGGCATCAGGGAGACATCTTGGAAAAAAAGTCAGTCCATTTCTCGCTCAGCAGAAAACCTCTGATTGCCCTCTCTCGTTATTATTTCTTTACATGATCCTTAACATCTATTCCAAACAGTAACATAAAGACACAATTTTGCCAGTGGTGCTTGGTTTTACAGCGGGATTTTTTGGGCTTTAATTAACTTCACCCGCATAAGAAAGCGGGGCGCCTTTGATCAGCCACACTTCTCTGCTTTACAATGATCGCTAATAATTAAATCCCACAAGAATAAGAAGATTTGAGCGAGAGTATTATCATCAGCTGAAGAAAACAGAGGACCGCAGCCTCTGCGAAGCACGGGCTTCTCTTAATTAAGTCCCACTCTTGTCACTTATTGGTTTAAAACAGTATCAGCAAACTTTTCTGTTCTATTTCACATTTACATGAGCGCTATTTTTCTTTTCTAATCTCTCTTTGTCGCAAAACGAGGACTAATCTCATCGCCACAGAACAGCATGGGAAAAAACCGCTGCCAGCACATGAAGGAGGTTCTTCCCTGCCTCTGTTCTTACGCTGTCCCTGCAGATACAAATCTCACTTCTGCTGCTATTTTGGAAGATCCCCCCCTCATTGCAACGCTCTTTGCTTTCCTTATTTCATTAATTTGCTCTGGTTTTTTTTCTCCACTTCATCTTGAATGTTAAGCTCCAACTTCAATAATTGCATTTTCTTTGTTGGGGCAGATTTTAAAGGATGCTTCATTTTGCACCATTCAGGACCAAATGAACATGGGCTGAAATATAAGCATCCTGTGGGCTTCCCTTAGCTGTCCATGTCCGACGGAGCATTTGTGTGTGCATACACTATCTTCTCCGTGCTTGCCATCTGCGGCCTCATCCTGCAGGTCACAATGATAGTTTCACCCAAAAAAAATCCAAAGGCCAAGGAAATCATTCTCAATGACAACATTTTTAGATAAATTGAGCATTTATTATTTGATGGATAAAAAAAGTCCTTATGAGCCCGAATGCCACAGTGGATCCCCTTAATCCTTCATATTCAGAAGAAGTACAGTATTCAAAAACTGTCCCAGTCATATGAATATTTTGTGTGCTCTTAGTTTCTAAGTACACAAAAATCTCAGGTGGCTCCAAACAAGTCTCATAGACATATGTAACGCTTTCCTGAATGGAAACAAGCTGAATAAAAGAGGATCTACGTATTTGATTTGCTTATGATTCTTTTATTTCTTTTAAAATCTTAAATTTAGATTGTGTTCAGCCTCTCCATTTTGAAGTGTTTGGTATATCGCCACTGAAAGTGGCCTTGATCAATGCTTGAATAAGTGAACGAACGCACTCCCAGTTATTATCAAGATCCCAAATCTTGCAAGCTTAAATTTCCATAAAATTATCAGGTTCCCAAGAATCCCTATCTGCGCTTTATGAGTAACAGTTTAATTGTGCTTAACAAGCAGCAATCAGCACAGTTTCATAAATGATCACTGTGATAAAGCGAATTATTTAATCTAAATTCAACCTGCATGCACTTTCACATGCGATGCTCTCGTGACTCGTTCAAGCATAAACCAAAGCAGCTAAATGTCTTTATTCTGGGATTCAACGTGTCAGATCTGTCCTTTTGTTTGGGAAAGGACGATCAGCTGCACGCGTGTCCCCGTGGGGCCCGCTGGTGGCCGGGGCCACCGTCACGATAACATCACCCGTACACATGCCCTTGCTGTTGGGCCTCTGTGGCTGGACGGAGGAGGACAGTGAGTGCGTGGTGCTGATAGAACTGACCGGATGCTCTCTCCTAGGTGGGTCTTCATCTATGAGAAAGGTTACCAGACCACAGACACAGCGGTCAGCTCCGTCTTCACCAAAATGAAAGGAGTGGGCTACACCAACGTGAACGGGAGTGAGAGGGTCTGGGATGTGGCTGACTACATCTTCCCTCCTCAGGTCAGTGGTTGGTTGGCTCGAGCTTTAAACACACATATGAAGATTAACAGACACTTTTTAATTAGACAGAGATCTGCTTCGTACCTGGAACAGCATTGCTTGAGTTTTGGAAAATGTAGGTCAGAGTCAAATAAAGTCAATATTCGTTGTCCATGATTCAAACTGTCAGAGAGAATACACATCAAGCTGAGTCAGACAGTTCCTGTCAAAACTGTCCTCAAAAAAATAACAGTGTTCACCAGTCAAATCGCGCTTTGTTGAAATATACATAGTGATTCAGTCACCTCTAAGGTTTGTATGGGTCATTGAGTAATGGGCAATCATCTGGTTCTGAATAATTCTTAAAATGAGGTGAATACAACCTCAAAAAGATGAAAAATCTTGCCAAAAAAAGTCCATCGTCACTTCTTTAATATGACCAGCCTTGTGCTATAATGCATGTGGTCATCTGATCATTGGTGAATGTAACAGTAAGTTTTGTTAGTTTGTTGTTCCAAAGCATTCCGGTATGTTTTAAGACAAAGCCAAGAAGGAAAGATGTCAGCAGTGAGCTCAGAGAAGCAACTGTCACTCCCCATCAGTCTGGGGTGGGTTGGAGCGAAACTATTTGGACTCTTTCGTTCCACTCAGAGAGAAATTATTCACAAGTGGAAAACATTCAAAGCAGATGACAATCTTTCTAGAAGTGGTTGTTCTGATGACGTTTGACAGGAAAGGCAAAGTGGGGGTGTTTGGTCAGAATGCGCAGAAAGCCAAAAAAACAGCCTACCAGCACAGCCCTGATGAGCCGGCCCGGTTCTGCTGTCACTGGGCCACAAACTCCTCTGAATACAGGAGTATTCAGAGGCAGATTTAAGCCATCTGTGCCAGAGCTAAAGAATTATCTTTAGAGACTTAAAACACCATGCAGAAAAGAATGATTTAAAGTTTTTGCCGAATGGGGTTCTCCAGGCTGTTTGGTTGTCACACTGCATCTATTTTGTGGGCTTAGTTTCTATTAGATAATAAGGAGTCTGTATAACTGATGTAATGTTAAAGAACTGGACGGAGGAAATGATATCCTTTCCTGTCCATAAAAGTTTACATAAAACTTTAGTGCTGATGTAACGCAACTTTTTTTCCCACATGACTTTATGTTGTAAAACGTCTGTTGGATTTTATGTTCAGTCAATAACTGAAAGTGAAAGACACACTGAGAATCTCGAAAGCTTTTCAGACTTTATCAGGATGATAATGTGGCTTTGTCAACGTGAAGGTGTCTCCAAAAGTTATTGCGTGCAAGAGCTCTGCAAACAGCCTTCCAAAAGGGATACTGTGATCAAATACATGCCTTTGTTTACCTAGCGTTACCAAGTTCTGTTATCTCTTGGGGCGAAATGAAGATGGCACAATGAAGTTTGTCATGTTCACTTTGACTTTTGGGTGTGGTCACAAATATGATGAACCCAACCAACAGGATGAAAAGGGTCCTTTTTTCAGCAGAAGCTTTGATCAAGTAGAAATCCACGGACAGCTATATTATTAAATCCACATTATTGTACGATCATTCCAGAGGCATCTCTGTATATTGTAGTAAGGGATCCATTGGGTTGTTTCCAGTCTGTGATCATACAACAATACCTCACTTAACTTTTAAAATTCCCATGAGAACAAAAGAAAAAAACAACAATAGAGCTAGAAATATTATGTAAAACATAAAGTGACAACTTTAGGTTATGTAACAAGATCATTCTTTCTTTTAGATACATCCTAAATAATGGAATGTTTAATGTAATAATGTGTATTAAAAAATCATAAGGTAACACAGAAAACCATGATCTGAATCTAAATTAAACCCTAATTTAAATAATAAAGAATGAGACCCAAAAGTGCTAAAACACGTTTATTGCTGTTTTATACATTAAGGTTTTTACAGAAACATATGCTGTCATCATTATATGCCAGCAAGACAATGCCAAACTATATTTAGCTCATATTGACATCTTCATTCTGGGGTGAAACTGTGTCAGTGACAGTTATCGGAAAATCTCTACAAAAACTTCGAACTCATCTTACTTGTACAACTATAAAGCTGTGAATAACCATTGAAAAGAGAAGCTTGTTAGTTATGGTAGATGTGGTCCGGAGGAATGAGCAGCCACTTCAACTGACTGTTCTACCACCTATGTAAAAGATCTATTCTGTCATATCAAATCCAATTAAAAGTCATGAGCTTTATTTTGCTTGTGAAAAAACCTTGGAGGAACACAGATGGGATTTACAAACACGAATAACAATTGGAGAAGCGCAATATCGATTTCTAGCTCTGGAGTTGTTTCTTGCCTGTTCTCTGCTCGTTTTTAAGCTTTTGAAAGAATGAATGAACACAGAGCGACACAAATCTGACCTCTGGGGTAAGCCGGTCAAGTGGAACAAATGTTTATGTTTATATTGAGCTAAGCTAATAGTTTCCTGACATGATGCTAACAGTTTAAATACGACAATTGCGTCAGTGCCCATGACCGTTCAAATGACAGCTAAAAAGCTTTAAGATTCAGATCATTTGGGGTTGAAAGGTGTCTAGTGTGCTTTTTTTGTAAACAGGTTGGTAATATTTGACACAGTAGCCTATATATTTTAACATTAGCACAGGGCTTTACACCCAGTGCATGATGGGATTTAACATCATAAACACCTGACGTGTCTTTTTCTAATGGAAAACTTTAGGGAGACTCTTCTTTTGTTGTGATGACAAACTACATCATAACTGAAAACCAGACAATGGGAAAGTGTCCAGAGGTATGTAAAGAGATTTTTTTTTCCAATTTTCCCTCCCGCCTGACTTTCTCTCCCTCTGTCTCTGACTTATCTACTACCATAAATAGTAAAACAAAACGGAAATTATGGCTCATTCCAAGACTGTTTCTGTAATTGGGCTGCTGGGCTTCTGCTGTTTTGCAGAAAAAAACCCATTCTTTTTTCTTTTTTTAAAGGGCTCAATATGGCAGATAGTAACGTTTGTGTAGTCTGCGGAACGTTGCAACTTATAGCTCGTTTCTCATGTTGTTATCTTTTTTTTCCTCAGAATCTGCCGAATTCCTCACATCCACATTCCTCTGTGGCGCACACATACTGACCCCGTTTTTCTTGTTTATAACAGCTGGAAGGCGCAAACAACTGCAGCTCAAACGCCGACTGTGATGAAGGGAGATTCAAACGTACGGGACATGGTAAATCCTGACGGCCTGACAGTGTGTGACCTGGGAAGTCCTCACTGAGTCTGTCAAACTAACATCCTTCCGCGTCTTTGCCTTATTCATATGCTTTTGTTTTTGCATGGCCAAAAGCTGCTGTAAAACTTTGCATGAGACAGTGGTCATATGATCATTCAAAGAGGTAGCGAGGCTATTGTGTCAGAGATGAATTAGTGTATTTATAAAATGGGCTTTGGCTTCCCACAGCAATGACAGATAAACTCGCACAACTCTTTTAAGGTAAACATTTATATGTATTTAATGGATTACTCTAGTCTGTAGCTGTGGGGAAAAAGCTGATTAAAATCAACAGCCCTGGTCTTAGCAACCAAACATTTGGTTAGTGTGTTCATATTGTGGCCCGTTAATCTCTAAAGTGAGCAAGTAAAACCCTGCCCTGAGCAAGCGGAACATTCTATGTGAGTCTATATAAATAGTGCAGACATCTGAATCACACATGCATGTGATCTGACATGTAACCACACAAAATACAATTAGTCCCACGCAGGGTTTTTAAGATGTGCAAACATGTACGGTACCATCGCTGGGTTCAAAGGGCAGTTACATAAATTTATTGTCCTCCATCTTTCTCACGTTTCTATTCTGAGCTTTTCCGAGTCCTTTGTGTCCCACATCCACTTCAATAAGACCGAAGCTTTAGATCTGTCTGTTTTACACCAGTCAAATTCACCCTTTGGTGCCGGCGTCCCCTCAGAGGCGGCGCGCTGTCGTTATGCTTGTAGACAAGTAGGCGCGCGGGGGCATCCCTGCAGCCACACTGACCGGTGGGCTCCAGAGAAAGGTCAGGGACTGGTGCTGAGAGACCAAACGCCTGCTGGAGAACTGCCTTCCAATTTATCCAGTCCGCCATCATCGGACGAGCCAATAGCAGCAGAGCTAATCGCATGAGCAGAAATTGCATGTCTGGATCAGAGCGAGATAAAAAGAAACGGCCGTTTCAGCATTTGCTTTGCTCCACTTTTATATCTCACTGCCGCCAGTGATGCTAGTTCAAGATATGAGGAGAAACAGGGGCATAAAACATTTCCATTATTTCAGCGTTAGAGCCTACACTCCTCCTCACTGCTGCTCGCTGCACAAGTTGTACTTTTTGTTTTTCCTGATGTTTGTTCCAGCTTGAGGTTTTGCATCTGATAATGAGCTCCTGTTTGCTCTCCCTTTCAAGGACATATGACCGGAGTCTGTGTGCAGTCCACCAGGACCTGTGAGGTGCTGGCGTGGTGCCCGGTGGAGGATGACCGCAAAATCCCGTAGTACGTGTGGACACCATTTCCTTATCTCTGAAAGTGCTGGGTTTCCCACAGCTGCGGGGAATTTTTTTTTATCCTTCTTCGATCAACAGCTTTTCTCTTTGGCTGCTGAAATGTTTGAGGAGACTGTTAACCCTCGATTCAGGAAACGTCCCTGAACAGGAATAACTGACATAATCACGTTGGCATTGTGGCTTATATTAGAGTCAGAACTGACTTTGTGTTGCTGAATTGGTCTTCTTCCTAAATAAATGACTGCCTAAATGAAAAGAAGTACAATTAGACAAAAAAGAATTGCAAGTTTTTTCTCAATTAAATCCAGTGAGCAACTGACCAAACTTAATGAAAGTCTGATCCACGCTTCTGACTTAATATTTATTGTGTCAGAGCCTAAAGAACCACAATTTGCCTTTTGGAAGAAACTGTTTTGTCTATTCCAAAAAATCTTTGCAAGCCGTATTGAATGTTAAAAAGAAGCTTAATCATTTGTAGGTCTCATCGGCCAAAACCCTATTCCCAACAGAATATAGAAAAGATGAAATTTTGATGGCAGATATTAGTTTATCTTAGAAAGCAGCAATGTGCCTCAAAATGTAATGACAGGACCGAGTTTTCCGGTGTAACTTCCTTTCTTCTGGCTGCTTTTCCATTCTTATCTGATTCAGAATTCTAGCTGCTCAAAAGTTCCTGTTCTTCCATGTTTTGTTCTGTATTTTCTTTCAGGTGATGAAAGGTTCGGTCTCCTTTATGAAGACCTCATTCTGCTTTAACTTGTGCACTTTGAGAGTTCAGCACTGTTATGTGAAGGAAACAATGTACTTTTAAATAGTCTTTTGTCCTGGATACAAAGTGTGTTATTACTGTGTTTTAAAGGGTTTAAGAATTCTGCTGATCTCAATCTGCTTAGACGCTCATTATCAAATTAAAGTTTGAATCTGTGAGGACATTTATTCTTTGCTTTTTGCGTTACATCGTCTGTACATGTCAGAGTTGAAGAAAACATTAATGTGATTCTCCTTTTCCCCCCTCCAGTCCTCCTCATCTGATGTCTGCGGAGAACTACACGCTGTTCATCAAAAACTCTGTGACTTTCCCCACCTTCGGTGTCACAAGGTGACAGACCTCCTTCACATCACGCTGAGTCAGAGCCAGCTTTGAATGTCTCAAAACAGGAATAAATTAATAAGAGATGCATTACCACGTTTTCAACTGAAATGGATGAAACTTGGTTGTTCCAATTATTTTTCTAAGGAGATGGTCTGATGACGTTCATGTTTTATCTTGATTTATCAAAGATCTCACATAGATGAGCTGAAGTGGTTTTGGAACGCAAGTCTAAGCTAACACTTTTACACGATCACGTTGTCATTTGCTGTGTTCTGTATTATTTGTGTGTGTGTGCAGGAGTAACCTGGTGGAAGGGATAGACACTGCCTACATCAGCAAATGCTCTTTTCACCCGGAAGATGATCCACTCTGTCCAATATTCAAATTGGGAGACATCGTTCAAATGTCTGGCTTTAACTTTGAGACGATAGCACACAAGGTGAGTTCGCGGGGTAGCGTTTCTGCTGGGAACGTTTGGGATTAGAGTGTTGGGATTTCTGTATCATGGGTTTGCGTCCCAACAGGGAGGTGCGATCGGGATCGTCATCGACTGGACGTGTAACCTGGATGTGGATGTGAAACACTGTAAGCCAGACTACAGATTTCACGGCCTGTATGGAAACCCAGATGAAGTGGACAAAACCAGAGCATCAGTGGGATACAATTTCAGGTGTGTGCTCCGCTTTAAGTGAGATATTATGAAATTAAATATCAGAAAATCCATCTTCGATCCCATGAAAGCAGTAATAATAAGTTTTCACACAGTGCTTCTGTATTTGGGATTTTCTTTATCGCATATATGAGCCGGGGGATTTGAAAGGATGTAATTTTCTTGCTGATGGGGGCCAGAGGAACGGCTCTGTTCCAACCTTTATGCTGAGCTTGGTCACTTTGCACTTCACTAAAGATTTCCATCTGTTGCCAAAAAAACGTTCTATTTTGTAATTGTAAATATTCTTTTATTTAGTAATTTCCCTAGAAAGAAAAAGGCAGCTTGGGAGGTTTTGACTATTTTACCATTAGTTTTGTATGATCAATAAACCGGAGTGGACAGCATTTCCTCCTCCCTTCATTTCCCACTGTTTGGCCTGGAGTCTTTGTTTGCTTCTGACATTGCCCCGCTTCAAGTCTGTTTAGTCAAACCTGCCTGAAATTTATGATGTTTACTTGCTTCATAATACAGCTGAGCATGGTGCTCGTACTCATTTCTTGCTCCTGAACAAAACCCAGCCTGCTCCCTGACTTCACCTACTGGCAAAGCCTTCATAAAAATTGTGCTAAATGATCATTTCTTCACTGCATAGGTGGACTGATGTGTTCTGAGGATTCATTTAGGATTCTGCGCCATAGTTTATAGCCACGTATAAGATGGATGTTTAGCGCCTTTTTCTGACAAGCATGCTGCAGATCCTGTGAGTTGTGATAACCCCATGACTGCTCTTAGGTATGCAAAGCATTACATGGAGGACAAAATTCCAAAAAGAACCCTTCTCAAAGTGTTTGGCATCAGGATCGATATCATTGTGAAGTCGCTGGTGAGTAAAACAAATGAGCTTTCTTAGATTTCTTGCAACGTTCTCGCTAATAAATAACACTGGATTTTAAAAATAATTTGAACACTGTCCTTGACCAGGCTCGTAAATTTGATATCATCCCCACGCTGACGGCGATAGGCTCCGGAGTGGGAATCTTTGGAGTGGTACGTTGTGTCCTCTTCTTTTCCCAGTCGGATTCATTCCTATGAAACGAGTGAGACTCACATTTTTTGTTTCCTCTCCAACTTTTCAGGCAACCGTAGTCTGTGATCTGGTGCTGCTGTATTTGCTACCAAAAAGGGAATTTTACAAGAACATGAAATTCAAATACACAGACACGCACCCGAAGGTAAGCCGTTACTTCATTTGGTGTTCTCAGTTTGAACACAAGGTGGCAGCAGAGGGTCACTAGCCCAGACACTCTTCTGCTAGACATCAGTTTTTGGATGCTGAATGCCAGGAATCCCCCCCCCCCCTGCTGCACACATCACTGGTACCATTTAGAGACTCATTAGATTATTGTTGTTGATACCTATTCCATCTAAGCCCTGCGTGGAGCCTTTAGTGCTCGGCACAGCACGGCCAGTTATCTGATAGAGGATGACATCTGCACCTATCCCACCCAAGCAGCGACCCGCTGTTACCAGATTCAGGGAGAACATTCTGTATTTACCGCAGGACAGCAAGTCCCTCGGTTTAGACTCAAGCCTCTATTATGCCCTTGATGCAAGACAAGGCAAAGACAAGTCCAACGTGAGTGTATCACAGTCCAGATTCTGTGCGGTTGCTGCCATGTCCTTGGGAGCAGAGTCATTTTTTCACATTATATTACAAGTCTAAGTGGTCCCTGTCCTGTGGGTTTGACCTCTCTTTCACAGGACCCTGACTCAGAGACAGGGAGCACAGAGACTCAGGTACAGTAGGCCTTCACATTGGAAGAGGAAGAAGCGCCGTTTGATTTTTTTAAATAACCCACGACCGATTTATCTATTTTTCCTTAGAAGTGATATGGGAGCAATTAAGCCAAAGGCCTCGCTGCTTTTAAAGTTTCAATGCACAGGAAGAACACAGCAGACCCTTCAAGAAAACATACAGACTGTGGATGGCCGGACCCCCCTCAGACCAGATGGGACGCTCTCATCTGCTCTGCATTTCCTCCCAATCCTTCCTGACATCTTAAAATAAGAGCACCCCCGTGCTTCAAAAGCCACCCTGACTGACAGACTCTTGTTATTGTATGTTGATGGACACAGACAACCGCTGTATTTGTTCTATTTTTGGGGGGTTTTGCCCAGTTTGCCTTTGCTCATACTATGTATGTACCATCACCCACTGAAACTGTCCATCACCCCAGTGTTCCTGTACACGAACCATACATTACCTCAGTCAGTGTCTCTGTCAAAGCACAGCACGCACACACACGGCGTGTGTGGATGTACTTTTAAGAACAATTCCTCCCATATATGCACATGTGACCAACCGTTGAACTGAATAAAAGGTACAGTAACATTCATGCTTTTTCTTTTTATGAAACACTCAGACAAGCCAAAGTTTTGTTTTTTTTAGGATTTTTCTTATTTTATTTTATTCGATTATGTACAGGAATACAAAAAGCATGCAAAAAATAGCTTATTTATATCGGTACATATTTACATGGTAACAACGCATTCCATAGGGATGTGCCATGCTTCGGTTTCAGCGACTTGCCACAGGCGGGTGGGCACATTCGGAGATCTCCACGAGACGGCATGAGACGGACACACACAAACACAGACACAGCAGGCACCTTAGAAACACACACCAGGACGTAAGCACAAGACAAACAGCTCCCTGCCTCTGATCCAACACTCCCTGACCTCACTATGTACACAACCCTGTCCTCTTCCTCTGGATTTAATTGTGGCCTGAAATGCGGACAAAATGAGTTTCTGCCCCCTGTGCTGTGGCTGATCTTTCCCCCTCTGGTTCCGCTGTGGTCATTTCACAAAGCCAGAGAGAGCACAGTGAGGGCTCACTGGAGGCTGTGCCGTGCTGTGCTTTTGAGCCTTTCTTGTGCATGTAAAAATCAATCGATCCGCAACAAACAGTGATGGAAAATCACCAGCCTGACCCCTGTACAAAGTAAGGCTTGTACGGGGAATCAACAGTGGGATTTCAAGCTCATGGATAATTAAATTAATTATATGCGCTATACACATATAATTATATTTAAAAAAAGCTTTATATACAAAAAATAAATTAAGTAAAATTGGCAAAATGTTAGACTAAATAAAGGAAAACGGTGAAGTTATTTTTTAGATGATTCCCCCCCCCCCCATGAGATCTTGAGAGCATGTAGGAAAGTAAACAGGATGGAGGAGGTGTGTTGGAGCTGCAGGGGTTCAGAGGTTTGAGGGGAGCTAGTGATCACCCATCACTGCTTCTCTCCTCCAGCACAGCACTGCCTCTGGTGGAGCTCCTTTTTCTTTCTCATACACCACTCACAATTTTTTCCAAGACGTACATGCACACTAAACACGTACGGGCAAGAACAGAATTTCTAGCTCAGCCTCTAGAAGCTGCAGCAGCCACATTTTCTCACAAGTTCTCGGTAAAAATTCTCAAAGCTCAAAAAAGCGAGGACATGCAGACGGACGGACGGCAGCGAGCGAGGCGTCGCACGGCACAGTAAACGTGGTCTTTTACAGGTGTTTACAGCCATTCTCGTCAGAAGTGAGAGGAAAAGTGCAAATATTCAAACGTAAGCAGCGTTTCACTTTCAATTTAAATAACTGAAACACACAAGAGAAGAACGCGAGGCCTGAGCGCCCCCACAGTCATGAGCCGACGTGGACAAAGGGCAACGGCTACTTCTAGAGCAGGTTTTAAGTCAATACAAACAGCAGGTCGCTCCTTTTGGTTTAAACAGCCCTTCACTGAAGGCCAAGATGACATAATCCAACTCCTACTGCGCTCAATAGAGCAGAGAAAAAGCTTTACATTCTGTCACTCTCACATGATAATGATGCTGATTCTCTAATGTAAGCAGCGGCTATGGTTTGACGCCCCTGTGGATGGGAACTTCTAAACACTGGCGCTAAACGATAAGTGTAAAACTGTCTGTCGTCTGGGCGTCGGTTTCATCCCCCTCTGCAGAGGACTGAGGTCAATGCTAATGGAGGAAATGCAAGGCGTCGCACGCCACGTCTCTAATCAGCCACCCAGGGGACGCCACTCAAGTGGGAAGGGAAGTGTGTTTGTCTGCAGCCTGTCGCTCACAGGGCTGAGCCCCCAGGCCCCCAAAAGAGGAAAGAATCACAACAGAAGTGCGTAAAACATCCACCTAAAGCCAATCTGCTGCAGAGGAAATGACCCCGGGGCTCATTATAGTTGGCAGAAACAAGTAGAAACCGCAAACTTTTTTAGTCAGACTGTCCTGAATGACAGGATGATGTCCTTTCTGGTCCTATAGTGTTACAGTGTAGCATACCGGCCTGGAATGACTTTGGAGGTTATTAGAGTCTGTGTGGAAACTACCAGAGGAGATAAACGTGTGTTAAACGAGTTAAGATCTGGTGTTTCACCTTTTTCTGCCAACTCCACAGCGGTTTAAACTGGAAACTGATTTATTAATATTTTCATTCATTATCACACACTTAAAAAAAAAAGCTGATGGTCATCAACGATTGCAAAATCAAAAAGGACAAATGCTGCATATGATACATATGTTCAATCTGAGAAAATGTTACACTGAAACTCCAAAAGATTCATTCATGTGTCATCTTAGAATTAAGGGTTAGTTTTGTTTAGACGGATTAAAAAAAAAATTCAGATTGAATCGAAGTTGCTTTAGAAAGTAAGACATTTGAACTTGGATTGCTGTCCTTGGCATGTGGACAATTTGAATGACTTACTGTGCACGCCAGAATAATTAGCTCCGAGTTAATGATTATTCATTTCAAGTTAATTTATCGAAAGCTAGTAGAGACCTCTGAAAGGGTTAGAGGGTGAAATACTCCTTTCCCAAACCTTTGATGACCTCGTAAAAGTTGACAAAGTTCATTTAAACACAGCATTACAAAGCGCCACCAAAGGTGTTGCACAAGAACAAAGAAGTAAAGAACTGTATTATCTAAAATGTAGAGACTCCCCGTCTGATAAAGCAAACTGTAAAATGTTTCAATTTCTCTTACAATACCTTTAAAATCAGAGAGCAGAGTTAAACTTAATGACATAAAAACGGGAAGAGTTACAGCTAAAATGGAGAGGAGACATCAGTATTCTGCATCGCTCAGCAGGGAGAGTCACACTCGGGTGTGCTGCAGAACCTCGGTTCCCCTCAGACAGCTTTTTCCTGCCGGCCCTGAAGGCAGCATGGGAGGGAATTCAGCCCTCAGTACCCTGTTTCAGAGTTTAACTTCCTACATTGCACAGATATGAGAAAAGGGCAGCCACAGCAACACAGAAGACACCTACAGACATCTATGTACAATATGCAAAGAAGAGATCCGGCGGAAATCCAGAGCCCTCGAAGTTCACTGAAGTCCTGCTCATGTGGTGGTCAGCCAGATGAGAGATGAATAGAGGACTCCTCTCCACGCCGTGGACAGGTTATTCTCCATGCATAGAAGTAAAAAAATGTTTTTTAAAAAGCAAAAAAAAGCCTGATTTTTTCTTTCCAGTGCAATGCCGGCCGATAAATGCGTTTTCCAGAAACATTCATTTGAACGAGTGATGATCCAAACAGCAGGCGGCGGAGCAGGTGGTGCTAACTGGAGGCCCACAGGCTCCGCAGAGCAGACGGAGAACGGGATGAGACTTTAGCTCTGAAAGTTTTGTGTTCTAGAGACTGGAGGTGTGCTGGGTGGTGTTCTTGTGGAGTGTGTGTGATGAGGTTCTGAGCAAAGGGACGCAAAGCTGACGGAGCCCTTTTCAGGAGGAGCCACTGATGCTCAGGAGGAGGGCTCGTCTTCATGCAGGTCCTCCAGCTCGGCTTCTCTGGGCCCGTCTCCCGTGCTGCTCTTTCTAAAACCGTCAACAAGAGGAGATAAAGAAATCAATACCAGCAGCTGCTTAAGTCCTGTTGATCAGTGAGAGCAGGGAGCTTAATGCTCACACTATTAAGCTCAGAGGCTCTTTTCCCCCCTTTTCCCCCACAATGATTAATGTTAAAAACACAGAGAAAGCTTTATCAGTAGCTCCTTTCACACAGCCTGTTCACAGCTAGCCACAGAGCCTCCTGTTAGCATCTCCTGCCGCACCGCTAACAAAATACGAATGCGATTTGAGAAGAAGTGCAGGTAGGCTTTGTGCTCTTCCATGTGGGAAAGGGGCTACTGAGAGGGGGCTACAGAGGGGACATTGGAGGTGGGAGCAAGGGAAACGGGGCTCGGCCACTTCTCAGAACAGACAGAAGCAAGCCTCTAGGGTCTGGAGTGAGGATGGGCTGGCAGTTCGGACACACAGAGACAGAGACAGGCACTGCTTTGCACAAACCTGTGGGAGGGGTGACGCTTTAAAGAGGGCCGGAAGGGCCACGAGTCCCTGCAGCAAAAGAGTGGGAGAAGAGACGGAGAATTCACAGATGAGAGGGCGGACACATGCAGGTGCAGATATGACCCACCGGCTCTACGCGGAGGCAGCCGATGTCCACGTTCATCTCTCTGATATTCCCTTACAGACAATCAGTTAACCCAGCAACGCCTGTTAGAGAGGCGGGGCCACCTGAATGGGTGGAGGGGACTTTACATGTGTTACAGCAACATATTCTCCATTGCAGACAAGAATGGGACAACATTCATCTACTAAAGGCAAAACAACAGAGCATGAAAACTGATATATTCATACATATTACACACAAACTTTCCAACAATTGTAAATGTAATGTAAACTCATGTTGGGACAGGCAAAAGATGCAGTCTGATGTCACAATGAGGTCATGAGGGCTTCTAGGACTTGGGCACTACAAATATTTATATATTTAAGTCACTGTTTTGACAGCAAACTCCAAATTACAATGAAGAATTTACATTTCATGAGTAGAGATGCAAAAGCCCAAGACGACTCACACTGGACATCCGGTGCAATCTAGATCTATCCATCAATCATTCTGTCAAGAATGATGGATTGAATGTCTGTCATGCAAATGCATAACTGTCTTGGAGTGAGCAAACACCTTCACACAGACGGTGAGAAGTGAGACAGTGGTCAGGGTGGTGGGTAACGTCCTCCTTTACAGGGCAGGGCTACCATGCTAGCTCACAGACCAGTCATGACTCTGCCTGCCGCTGGGTTTCCGTTCACCCTGACTGGGAACTCCACTTTTTTATTAGACACCGACATGCTTTGAATGCAGCTCTCGACAATCGTTGCAGCCTTTTTACTCATGGACTCATTAATGAAAATCAAAATTTAAAGACCCTGCATGCTTCCTCACAGCGCTTTCAAAAACACAACATTCCAGTCACAGGATAAGATCCAAACGCGCCAGAGGTCTGGTTTTTTTGTTGGCCAGCAGGGGGCAGTGTCATTCTAGACTTCAAATCAGACCTCTGAAAAAAACGGATCACCTTTAATAGAGGGTGTCTCTGACAGCCTCCAGTGTAACGGGAGAAGCCGGGGCTCAGATAAGGGACACCTCGTTTAATAAGCCCATCGCATGGTCTGCTCCACATCCAGCACAGGGGCGCTCCGTCTCCACACAGCCAACACCGTCCCAGAGGCACCCACAGTACAGAGGGGGGGGGGGGTTATAGATGCCCCAGCATGCTCCGGGCTGAATGTGCTGAGATTGCATGGCGGGATGAGGCGATTAGCCGTTTCCCCGTGTGATGTTTGCAGCCCATGCAACGGCAGATCCAAGGTCAGCCTGGAGCAGCGGCTGGTCTGCGTGATACTGTGTCCCTCTGAGTCTTCCCAGTTTTTGCAAGCTAAAAGCAACGCGCAGAGGAACACTTGGAAGAACCGAGTTATGGTGCTATGGCAACGCAAAGCAGCAGCAGCGGCGGCTGCGGCGGCAGGAGCGAGTGCAAGTTAACCTGATCAAACTGAAAGAGGAGCCGAGAGCGAGCTGCAGACCTCCGGCAGAACCCCAGGCCCTGTGTACAGGGCTTCTGCAGGACTGCTGTGGTCTGGTCCCCCTGGAGGGGGCTCTGAGCGGGAGAGCTGAGGGCTGGATGCTGTGTGCTGTGTGCGGGCGGGACCGTGAGGCTTACATGAGCAGGCTGCCCGGCGCAGACATGGACCTTTCCTCTCGCCTACTCGGGCACTCGAAGGGGTTGCTGAAGGAGCGCTTCCGCAGCATCGCTTTCACCAAGATCTGAAACACCCACAAGCACAGCATGGAAACAAAGATCTGCCAATGGCCTCTTTTTCTTTTTGTGCTTCTCTGCCTGGAGTCTGCAGCTCTGTGGACCTCAGTGACGTCTTTGATGATATGCAAAAGGGGCAGAAAACCCTCCAGAAAACAGAGTTTAATGGTGTGTTTTTTTTATGGAAAAGAAACACGCACTACGAGAAAATACGAGTCATTTCCCAAATTCTGGTGAAAAGTCTCACTTTAGAGCAACAGCAAACAAAGAGTGCGTGTAAAATATTCTATGCATACAGTTTGGTGTGAGAGAAGCAATGCTAAGAAACGCATGAGGATAAAACACAGACAGATACAGAGTAAAGTGTGAAATATATGGAGTAACACCTGCATGGGAGGAATAAAGCTTTCTGTCAATAGACGGTGATATCAACTCTTTAAACAGATGCTCATCCATTGTTCAGACATCTCCTTTGCCTGTTCTTGTTGTTGTCTTAGCACACTGCAGCCACTATGACCTTTTACTAGCTCTATTAACATTAAAGCATGAGGAAAGTGGCCGAACTGTTAATAACACAGTAGATACCAAGATTTTAAAGGGAGTTTTACAATCGTTTGTATTCTAATGTTATTCCATGTTAATGGAGGGCAAAGGTGGGGAAAGGGAGCAGTAGTTTGTCCTATCATTTTCACTTTAATTATGACATGAAAACAGAGTATTAAAATACAGATCTGTTTAACATGGAAGCAGTTTGCTGCCAGATCAGATATTTTTATCCAGGGGTTAAGAATGCTGAGAAAAATCCCCATACTATCACCCCGAAAAAGGACAAAAGGAAAATTTCACCCTTTTGCAGCAGAGTCGGGCAAATTTTCATTATCAGATCAGTTCCAGTCTGGTGCAGATATACTGTGACAAAGGAGCTTAAATGCCTCTTATGCGTCACACTTGACACACTTTAGTGCAGGATCTTTACTCCCACAATGCTGCTGGGTTTTCCTTTCCTTTTGACCTTTTACTGGCAGTCTTGTCTTGATCTTAAACGTGTGGTAAATAGAACTGTGGCTGCTGGATGTAGACAATCCCCCCTGCCCCTGCGGAGTGACGGGGGCTCCTTACCACAGCAGAGAGGCTGGGAACGAACTTCACCGAGTTCTGGATGTCCTCCTCCGTCACCTCCACCACGGAGCAGTGCTCCTCTTCTAATGGCAAGGGGTCAGCGCCGCCCTGAGTCACCCACTGATCCATCTAAGTGCACAGACAAAAAGGTGGCATTCACCCTCACAAAGAGGTCCTGCAAAAAATCTAAACTCCTCCTTCATATTTCTGTGATTTGCAGGCTGTGATCTTATTATTCTGCTGGGTTCAAGGCCAATTTAAGCATGATTCTGCTTCTGTGCAGCACAGCATTCTTACTGTAAGAATATTGCAAATGACATCCGTCCTGCTGTATTTTGAGCAAAGTAGGGCCTGTCTGTCTCTCAGTTTGATGTTTGGCTTATTTGTGTTTTAAATTGTCAGCTTTATGGACCCTTAGGAAAGTCTGGATTTAGATTCCCCTTCATCTATTGGGTTATGAAGGAGGGCATTTTTCTGTCTTGGTAATGAACATGTATTTCATTTTCACAAATAAAAATTCAGTTTTTCTGGGAATAGCTTAGCACTGACATTTTCAGAAAACATAACTCAAGATGGTAACAGAAAAATTGACTTCTGCATGATTATGTTAAAAAATTGGTTACTTTGAGCAACTTTAAGTACTAAAACATGAATAAAATGCTTTAACAGAACAGAGTGTTCTTTCAACATGATGGTAATGCATTCAAATAATCATCAGAAAGTGGAAAGTGGACTTAAAACTGTGGTATTTCCTTGTTCCCAGTTAATGTGCAGCCATTTTCTGGCTGCAAAAAGATATGTGACAAACGGCTCCCTGATCCTGGCTTATCTCCCCACATTCTTTTGACTTGTGTGAACATTTGGGTGTTTGTGTAGAAGACATGATGCCTGACAGCCTCATTATCTCTTTTCCATAAACACAAACTCTGTCTCTGGTGAGAAAATGAGTCAGCGACACATGATTAGATTGTGTCATGGAAAAGATGGAGGGGAGCGGACCAAGCCAACTGACTCAGTTTTAGCCCAAACATCCTAAGAGACAAACAGGTTGGATTATGCCCTGAAGAAGCACAGCCTGCCTGAAGAGCCCCCGCTGATGACAAGAAGTTCTTACAACCAATCAAAGCAGAGGAGATTTGTTTTCTGTGATCCACCTCACAAGGCTGTGGTCTTTCCATCTGTGTGTTCATCTGTGTGTTACCTTGATCTCGGGGATGGTGATCCTCGTGTCTGGGTTCTTATCCAGCATCCGCAAGATCAGAGTCCGAAGCTCTTCGCTGATCTGCGGGCTGCAGGAAAGCAGAAGCCACGGGATAATAATTTCATCCAGCAATTCACAGAGCGGACCGCTTGTACACTCATTACCATCATTAGAACACAGACACCCAGGCCACACACATCCTTTTTTCTAAAACCAGGTAGGACGATTAAAGCATTAACTGCACATAAGGCAGACATAATTAAGGCCCACGCTTCATTAAAACAGACCAAAACTGCACTTCATCAAACAGCATTTACCAGACTCGTTAACTCCAAAACATTAGCACCGTGTCACATGTAGTATGAGCTCTGAAACCCCTGGAGCACACAGAGGACGGGCTTCATCAACCTGCTGAAACACAGTCCCTCTGTCACCGTAGCAGCTGTCCACTTATGGCTTTAGACACGACGGTCAGACTAAATAGTCTTCCTTGAGAATTTGGTTTGATGTCTTTTTGAGTGCCTGTACGGCAGATTTTGTCTTTAAGTGACCAAAGTAATAAGCAAAGCCTATCTAGGAAAGGTGGAAACGGGAGAAAGAACCTCATAGTTACATTTCAGAGGAACACAGGACAAAATAATGTGTCCTGTATTGATCTTGGGTTAAAACATTTACACAGAAAGTAAAAATTGGAGTCACTTCAGAGGATGCTCCATCATGCTAACACAGTGATTCTGATAAAAAGACTAAATCTTGACACATCTCAAGAAATCAGAGCTGTAATAAATTCATGTAGCCTCATTCTAAGAAAAAATGTCCCATTTTTGTTCATTTCATATCTATATTTATACACATCTATATATACATTTATATAGATTTCAGCACGAATCAACCACTGTGATAATGACAGTGGTGTGACGCTAGCAGCACAAAGCTTAACTGTATTGTATGACCTTAAGGGTGCCGTCAGAGAAGTCCTGCTGACTGTCTTTGTACAGCGTAGACATGATTATCTTATATGTGGGAGGATGATATCGTCTTATGTGAGAGCTTTCTGCACGACTGTCACCCCAGCGTGGAAGGACAGTTTATAATTAACAAAATAACGCCTTGTTCTGTCGCAGCTCGTAGCCTCGCCTTCTGATTTCTTATTACTTTATTTCATGCACTCAGCATGTGACCTATTTCTGGCTTCAATTCTTTTGTTATGTGTCTTTTTTCTCTGTTATTTACCCAAGAAAACCTCGATGCTCTCCTTAACCTTCGACTTAAAAAGGAAAATGTGTGTGGCACAGCAGCTTGTGTGCATCCAGGCTGCCGGGGCTTTTTAACATGCTTGTTGTAATCACAGACGGGTGACATTTAAAGTGCGCTCGCCATGACTGCCTTTCAACATTTCTGTTGTAATGTGTGAGGTAAAAAAAAAAAAAAGGTTTTGTATTGAAAATAAGAAGAAAGCCATCAGAAAAGACAACAAAGAAGAAGAAGACATTTGTGGAGTGGAAGAGGATAAAACTGCACCATCTTTTTGAATAAGGCAGAAAAATCAAAGAAGGGGATGAACTCACGTTTCTGGGAAATCCACAGGCTTGGTCCTTATCTTATTGTGCAAAGCCAATATGTACTCGTCAATAAAAGGGCACTGCAGGTGGAAGAGAGGAAAAGGAATGGAAATTTTATCTGTCTCCCCAAAACAAATACAAATAACAAAAGCAGTAATCAGCCTCTAGTGTCCTTTCATACGAATAATGTCTTTAGAGAGCTGCTGTAGCAAACAAAAAAACAAAAAAAGGTGACAGGTTGGGTTTCTGCAGAAGTGCTACAGGGTGCCGGTAACGAGCAGGGAAGTCGCTGTAATCAACACCCAGCTCAGAATTTCCTGGAGCCGTTCCTGGACCAGATGCTGATGAGCGAGCGAGAGACAGAAAAGCGCTCAGACTTGCCTTTCCGAAGACGAAGCAGTAGAGGGTAATCCCCATGGCCCACACATCCAGCGCCTTCAACAAAGTGCCAACAGTGACGTTAAACAGGCCGAGTGACACATATGTAGAAACACAGCACAGAGAAAAAACCAACACCTGTTGTGGAAGATAAGCAGGGCGATCTGAATCGCCTGCAGTGACTGATGAGGCACGTTAGGGTTATTGTTTGGAGGCGTTTATGGTCTGATGTTCTGGAGATGGATTTGTGTGAACAGATATCAGTCGCTGTTGCTATCCATCATGCCTTTTGTCCTCCAGCCAGCCTCCCTTTCTCCTTCTTAATTGATATGGGAGCCTTCTGCATGCACGCTGCCTCACAGCCACAGCATTAGTGAGGAGAGCCTGCTTTAGCTCTGGAAATGCCAACTGCATGGCTTTAAGTAACATAGCGCTGGCTATTATAAGCGTAATCTCTGATTTACATGCTCTTCCGAACTGAAATCGGAAACAAGGCAAAACTAATCAGAGTGAAAGGGGCACTAGGTCTGAATATATTTCTCGAAACCTTGAAAAGCAGCAGGCTGAGGCACTTCAGTGGCTCTTGCGCCCTGATGGCTTTCAGTCGGCAATCAAATGTTCTATTCTAGTTCCTCTTTCATGGATGTGCAATGTTCCCCAAGTACATCCACCAGTTGTTTTCAAGGTCAGCCTACTTTTTATCGAAAATGACCTGCTCAGTTACCCAAACGGAAGACCCAGGGTTCTGTTCAAAGCAACAGACTATTTATTTAAACGGAAAACCTGACAATTTTCAGTCCTATCTGTAATGATGAGCACTGACATTCTAAGGAAAGGTTTGCATTCTCATTCTTTCATTCATTTCTCACCACTTGTGACCAAACCTGAGGACTTTCGGTAATCCACCTTAATCTTTATGTCGCTTTCTCACCCCTTCTTAAGAACAGACATGCAGATTTCAACACTTGATGCAGAAACTATAATGGGCTCGATATGGAACAAGCTGGATAGGCACACTTAACTGGAAATCCTCTGAACAGAAAGCTTTTGATAGCTTATAAAGCAATTGGTATATAATTATCACCAAATTTTTCATTATTATTTTTATTGCACTTGTTCCCAACACATTAACAAACATTTAGCACTAATATTTGGTTCAACAGACCTCCTTTAATTCAAATTAAACATCATTTTAGTGAGAAAAGGCATAAATTCTGGATTATTTTCGCTATGGTTTTGATCAGAGGAACACACTTTGATGGAAAAAAAAAATCACTGATTGATGCATGTTGAAGTTTAGAAATAATTTGATTGACAATTTCAATCATCCTTGTCATCTCCAGAAAATTATATGGAAGAAAACCAAAGTTTTGACATATGACCCATTGAAATGGCTCAAATTGACCTGAAGTTACAGGAAGGTTCAAGTGAACATGAGCTCTGAATCACATGCTGCTGTTTCTGCCGTTAGTGACAGCTGTGTGTTTTATGAGACCCATTAATCATCTGTAACATCAGGTGTGGACGGTAAGGCAGACCTGCTGAAAAATGCTGCTAATAACCGCTGCGTCTACTCACTTTTCCACTGAAGCTCTTTCGTTTCTCTGACAAAGTTTCTGGCGCCATGAAGGCAGGCGTGCCAGCCGTGCTGGACAGCAACGCGTCGTTGCCCTCAAACTGGTTGCTCACGCCAAAGTCTGCGATCTTCACGTGGCCGTCATCCCCCAGTAACAAGTTAGAGGGCTTGATGTCCCGGTGGATGATCTTCTGGTAGTGCACTGAGGACAAAAAAGGAGTAAGGCATTTCAACATCGATCTAATGAGGGGTTTTTGTTGCTGGATCCCTGCAGGAAAATCCAAAACTGTCCAAAGAAAGTGGACAAAACAGAAATGTTTGCTACATTCTGCCAAAGTAAAAAAATAAAATAAACATATATACAATATATATATATATATATATTTAAATATACATGTATTTGAATCGTCATTAACATGACAAGAGACAGATTCTAACTGTCCCAGAGGTAAATAGTTTAATTGCTGCTTTATGAGGAGGATTTGGAATCTGGGAATTGAAGGTCAGTGAGGACTGAAAGTCAAGTGCATCTCTTAAAAGCCTTCTGGATTTGGCTCTGGACACGTTCCTGATTGCATAAGTGGCGCTTTCTTGACTGAGAGGGTCTCCTTGAAATATGAAGCACTTGACATCTTAAAAGGCCTCTGCAATTAAATGTTGAAGCACTGAAAACATTCAAATGAAAAACACATGTAAAAGTAATCTGCGACCAAAGGCCAATACGGGTTATATACATTCATTTACATTGAAGAAGGATCCCATAAATGCACTCAGTGAAAATGTCCAAGGACAGAAAAGAGGCTATGATAAGCTTATTATTGGATAAGGAGCCGCAAGATTGAAATGAAACAATAAACAACAATAATATGGAAAACAGGCTCAGAAATGAAGAAAACTCATCTCATTATAATGGGATCATAATGAACCGTGACTCCACTCTAAGTATAGCAGACAGTTCTGCTGTTCGACAGCTGTGCCGTCGCTAGACTTTCACCTCTCAGCCCATCGCACGCCTCACGTCTCTTAAACACACAAACTCATTAACTACAAATGACTGAAATTGATCTACGACGGCAAACAGGATAGCCTTAGAAAAAAAAAACATTCCACTAAACAGAGGCTCAATAGTGATTAGGAGGACAGAAACCAGCAGGCAGACCCACGGGGCATTTAAAGAAGACATGACAACAAAAGAGGTCCAGCCCTTCTGCTGCTTTCATATGAACATGCAGTCAGATAAAATGACTAACCTTTAACTATTTGCCCATCACTAAAAACTTTATTGGCTGGCAGAAATATTCAGACTCTATGTGAATGTGCCTGAGAATTAATGTTCAGAAACAAAACAAAAAAAAGCCTTTACTCTCATGGGTTTGCTTACAGCTTTCACAGAGTGTGAAGTACTTACAGTACTCGATCCCCAGGATGATGTCTCTGAAGTATAAGCGCGCTTGCTTCTCGGAAAAAGGATTGTCTGCCGGTACTTCCATCACTGGACTGCAAATCAACACATGTGAGACTTTCAAATGAGATCCAGATTTAAGAGCGCCGAGTGTGACTGTGCCAATTAGCTCAGAATGAAAAATGGTTAGGCTGGCAACAACTTTCTAACATTTATCTTCAACACAAAGCATTAAAAAAGGAGCTATTCTTATTCATGAAGTCTAATATCCAATTTAAAATAGATAATTTAGAAAACCAGTTTTGGCTCCTTCATTGCTCCTGTCTTTACAATACATAGGGTGTACAAGTTTGGATATTGGAGACATCAGTTGTATATATAAGACATTGATATATTCAGCCAGACTACAGTTTATACATTGTGACAGGTATAAATATAAGTATATGATCGGACTATAACAGTCTCTTTTGACAGAGAAGAAAAGCAAAAGAATGACTTAGTGATCAGAAACATTTACAATACCTTTATCTGAATGAACCTGCTGCTAATTTAACTAAACTAAATTTAACTAAACCAAACTAATACCCAGCAGAAAGGAATAGTTTTTTCTTCTTTCAAAGCTGGCAGGGGTGTAATGAGATGACACAGCTTTGGAGTTCTGAGCGGAGTATTCCACCTAAAATAACTAATGCAAACAATTGTTTTTGTTCAGGCTGATGAAATATTGTGGATATGTACAAATCAAAGCCTGAGGGCCACATCTTTTTGAAAGATGCGGACGATCAATGACTCAGCGAGCCAACCAGACATTCCTTTATTTAGACAATGCAATGATGGACGTTAGTGACCATCTTTCAGTTGTTTAAAAATTGTAAACACAATCTTCTGTGTTGTCCCTGGTGTGATTAAGTGCCAAGCTTTACGTAACCCTGCTAAAAAATATTTTCAAAAAGCCCCTTTACCAGTTATGTGTTGCTTTAATGTTTGTTGTATTTTTTGTTGAAAATGTAATTGCTCTCCAGCTGTTATTAAATTAAAATAGTTGCTTAGCCTAATTTAGGATAAATCCATCTTCAAAATTAATGGAAAAAAAGCCCTCCACTTTAGAAAATCCATTATTTGTTATGCTCTGTCCTCATCAGAGTGGCAGTGTTGGCAGCGCCCAGGGAAAGGCAATCAGAGAGAGAATGGAAGTAATATTTCTGCCAGTGTAATGGCAAATATTTAGATTTTGTGTTCGGAAGGCACTGGATTGCAGCAGCATTTTCAGCAGCTGAGGCAGTAAAAGCAGAAGTCCTCTGAAATTAATTTCATGTATGAAAGCCACAGCATAGTGACAGGACCCGTCTTAAATCTACTGGTTTATGGAGCTCGACAGTCTATCGTCTTTCTCTCCCTGTGAATATGCCAACAAACAGAGCAAATATTTTTAGAATAAATGGGTCTTATGTATGCAGATATGTGAATAAACCAGCTACCCCGCCCCCTGCCATGTATCATAACAAATGGACCTGGATTAACAGATCAAAATTTGAGCGCTGTGCGGCGGAATAGTTCCAGCACCAGGACCTGAAACGCTTCCCCGGCTGACTGGCATCTGTAATAACTGTGAAAACCTAAGAACATTAGCTCTCTTTGAAGCTGGGGATGGAAAAGAAAAAAAAACACCAGCTCTGTGTTATCTTGGAGAAAGTGAGGAGGATGTTGCAGAGACTGAGGTCAGGATGGACAGATGGAGAAACGAGGAGCTGACGGTAAAGGTTTAAATTATTCAGAAGTCAAAGAAATGTTCTCTACTCACCCCTTACGCATCAGCTCGAACACTGTCAGAGAAACAAATGGAGAATGAAAGAGGACGCGTGTGAGATTAAACATTTCATTTATTAGTTTACCCCTTATTCCACTGAGGCGTTGCGCAGGCCTCTCATTTGTCATAGTCAGGAGCTCCGAACTGGCTCAGACATAGTTTGTTCCTCACTAACAGGCGTCCTGACTGTGACCTGGCACTGCGGATGGAAAGTTCCTGCATAATGCGTGAGCCCCGAGGTGGTGTGAAGGCGCGAGAGAGAGAGAGAGAGAGAGAATCTAGATTCTGAATTACACACACAATTGTTGGTGGCATGTGTGCCAAAAGGATGAGAGAGGCGAGCCAAAAGGGGGTTTGAGGACAAAGAAAAAGAAACTGCGTACCCATGTGCAGGTTGTCCTCCGATGGGTCATCCAGCACCTGTAAGAGTCACACCATCAGGAGAGAGAAAGGCCAGCCACAAACAGCAGATTAGAGGGGAGTTAGTTTTCAGTGTTTTCATTTCTTGTGCAGTAACTCAGCTACAGCAGTTATGCAAACAAGTTATTTTGTATCGATAGTTAGCAGAGATTTGTGTTTTGAGTGAAATTCTCATTTTTTCCCCTTTAAAGAGATGCCACCGTGCACAGTTCCTGGCTAAGAAATGAAAAATTCATAGTATTATCAGGCCATATGCTGTTATCTATTCATTCTGAAACAGTGAGAGAATTACGGCTGGTGATTAGACCTGCTTTGTAGATCTGTGTGCAAAGCTGAGCCACACGCAGACACAAAGGAGGTGGTAAACATTCAAAATCAACACGAATTCCAGCTATTTCAAGGTATTTCACTGCTGTGAAATTGAGTTCATTAGGTAATAATAGCTGGATATGCTGTTTCGTTGTTACTCACACTGGTCCTTTTACTTTCACTCTTACACTAACTGGAGCACCCCTGCTTCCTCGTGCCCTTCAATGCGCAGCACTTCACATTAATCACACCTCCATCATAAACTGCAAATTCCATAAAAACCTGTCCGGTAAAGGTGATCACACCTTTAATGTAGGTTCTTTCTACACCTTTAAAAAGGCAGAGGTGCAAATGTTTGCAATCTATATTAGAAAAAGGACTTATCACCCCTTTCACTCGATCTCTCTGTTGGAACTAGAATAAATGTCCCTTAAAATTGACTTTATATTTGAAAGCTGCAGCACAATAGCGGGAACCATTTTTTAAAAAGCCGTATCAAATAGCTCAGTGATGTGATTGTTCTGCTACAGACAATGACAGCATGCTTCCAAAGAAAGAGAGCAAACTAATACAAACATTTCTAATTAAAAAGAGTATATGACTTTTCCATCAGGACGGCTAAATCAAAAGGCTCTCCCTCCCGCTATGCATGCTAACAGATAAGCAGATCAGCGTTCAAGCGCCAGGACCTGCACCACTTCCCTCTGTGACCTGCCGCCATTAATTCCCTTTGTGATCTCAGACGGACATCTGTGGCCACTTTTACGAAACGTCTCTCAAAAAAAAATTGCCTTTGTTAATTCATACCGACAGTATAGTGCCCCGTCATTATGGCTTTCATTGTGGAACCAGATCAAAAGAGAGGCGCTCCGCCCTGCCCGCTCTCCGCCCAGAGCGGCCTGCCCTTCTGCCCTCCACTCTCTCCCAGAAAAAACATTCCAACCAGCAGACAGATTTGCGTGCACTGCTCAAAAAGCAGCACATAACCCTCAGATATGACATCATGTGTGGGTTCTGTGCTGGATGACTGACAGATTAAGCCTGGAGGCGTCGGCAGCCAATTTCATCCTAAAGAACACTAAAAATTATCATGGACAAAGAGAAGCTAAGAGAAGACCGACGATGGAAGCACTGGACATTTCCATTTCATCACCAAGCTGATGTCTGTCCACTTGAACCTCAGTCTTTTTGCGTGGGGGGGGGGGGCTGAGGGTTAAGGACGGCACACCCCTCACAATATTCCATATCTGCTGCCTGATCAAAAAACAGAAGTCACATCCAGCAAATAGGTAAGAGCCTCCCCATGGAAAAGAGCTGCAGTGATTAATATTTTTCAGCTTGAGGTAACAAGTTATTCAAACCTCACTGATGAGGGGAGGGGGCGACAGTCCCTCCCTGAGCGGGCACAGTAGACAGGCTCATTTGTCTCTCACTCGCTGAGACGTGAACAAGAGACAGTTCTGATTTATGACACCTTTAAGGCTGAGGCCCGCCAGTTAATAGTTGTTTTGTCACGCTGTTAAGGCTTCTGACCTGATTATGTAGAAACAGGAGCACGGTCCTTTAATGGCAACAGTGAATCATATGAGGTATTATAGGTACAGGCTGAATATGTGACCCAATATTCATTAAAGGTCCCAATCTACAATATTTTAGATATAAAAACTACTTTCTATGTGGAGATGAAACCGAGGAATGTTAAAGCCAGATGGATTTGGTCCCTTGTTTTATTTTTTCTAAAGCAAAGTCTCTCCTCTACTGAATTACAGCCCCTTCTCTTAAAAGCAAAGGGTGTTCAGTCAGAGACAGATAGTATTATCTGAGATAGAGGGACCTACCAGCTGCTTAAAGGCTGCACTTTGGGTTTCACTTTTTTGTTTTGGCTGTTTATTTTGGTCTAAGCATCCAGTTCTCACATTGTTTTCTCAAGGTCCAACATTAGTGCTTTAAAGACGATGGGCTTATTACATTTAAATTAAGGAGTGATATTGTAGAGGCAACATGGAGCTTTTGGGACTCACACCATGCTTTTGACTTCTAATGGTTTTCGCAAAATATTCATCTGAAGCAAAATCCTGGCGAATTCAAGGACATGCAGCCCTTTAAAAAGTAGTTCAGGAAATCCATTCAAAAGCAGCGAGAGCCGCGTTTACTTGAGTTTTAACATGCATTGCACCACTGAGTAGTGGTTAATGTTTTCTGGCGCAGTCCTGTAAAGTTCACTTCATCAAACACTTCTATTTGCATTATTCACTGCACTTCTTTCTATAAAAAAAAACATCAACTAGAAACAAGCTGTTGCTGCTGCCATTAAGCATAAAGTGCAGACCATTAGCGGCTTAGTCTTCTTATTGGAAGCTGTCGATTAATGCAGCTACCACAAGGGCTTTTGGGGAAATGGCATAAATTTAGCTTGGGATTCTAATGGAAGAGGATACTCTCATAACTGCACACAATGGAGAATCTTTTCCCCTCCATCTGTGACAAATGACCAAATCATTTTCACAGTTTTTTTAATCTGTTCCACTTGGGGTGGGATTTAGCGTTTAGAATTTAGAGAAAAAAAACTATCTCTAATTAGATGGACTGCACCGTAGTCTTTGGAGATTCAGTCCGATACCCCTCCTGAGTCTGCTGCTGACCCAGGCAGCTGTTCACATGTACGAACATGTGTGGGTCCTCTCCTGTGATGACTCTAAGTTTCGGGTATGAGTGGATTTGTGTGTGCAGGGTTGTTCATCTCTGTGTGGCCCTGTGTTGGACTCATGGAGACCTGAACCTGCCTCTCAACCAATGACAGCTGGGACAGACTGCACCCTAGCTAATAAAAATAAAAAAAGTAAAGGAAATGGATGGATGGCCTTTACTACTGGAAGCCAGATGGCTTTTCTTAAGCTTGACTGCCCAAGCTCAACTCCAATCTCTGGATTCAGAGATTTTCTGGCTAGAAAAAAAACTCTTATGGTATCATAACAGAGATATGTGCATCTTGAATAAAATGTTTTATATTGGTTTTTAATCTTTAACAAACAAACAGCTCAGCAGAAACTTAAAGTTAATCTTCAAAGTATCCATCTACAGGGTGAGCTTGTATTTTTTCCCCAGAATATATCACCATTATCAGAAATGTTAAGCACTCTGAAGGATAAACATCACAAAATCAACCACCTGCTCAGAAGCAGGGGGGTGCCTCTAAGCGAAAGCATGGATGAAGGCACAGAGCCAAGAAAGGTTATCTGAAGACAGAACACTGAAGGATAATCCTGACCACCGAGGAACTTCAGCCTGCTTGTGTGTCCACACGTTACAAGAGAAGTGACCCGACTACACTCTGAAACTTGGTACCTCAAAATTCAACAAAAAGAACAGGATTAACCTATAGAACTTAAAGTTAATAAAGTACGGTGTATAACAAATAAAAAACAGAAGTGCTAATGGCAGCTTGCTAACGTCCTCAAAAGAGAAACCCTTACCTCCACCAGCTTGACTATATTTATATGGTCCAGTTTTTTAAGGATGGCAATCTCTTGGTAGACTCTCTCAAGAGGTCCTAAGATTTTGGGCTGCTCTCCTTGGACTGCTTTTGGTCCTCTTGGAGGTGGGCGACCTATAAAGCATCAACCAAAGAAGGTTTAAAGGCTTTGAAATTATTGTTAGAGGAGTTTCATTTAATTTGAACAATGAAGAATTGTGCAACTAAAGCGTTTGAATCTTTTATGTACACTTTACTTTTCTGCCAAGTTAGAAAAAAATACTGTTTTGTGTTTTTCTTACTGGTTCATGGAAAAAAAATAATCAAGTGTGAGAAGCGGAGAAGGGAAAATAATTGAGCGGCGAACTTGTCAGGGAGCTTCTACGGAGCCCCATAGAACATCAGAAATACATCAAAGAATCACATTTGACATGGGGATATGATTTTTAAATAAGAAATTTAAAAAAATCTGTGGTAATGTTGATATTTTCCTTTAAAAAAAAAAAAAGGATATTCATACAAAATCGGTGTGTTCCTTTTTATTTTCTGGTTTACCTTTCCATCTCATTACCAACATCATAGAAAACACTCAAACAATAGAAAACAACTAAATGAACCAGAACTCACGGGGAAATCCACACTGCTTCATCAGCTTCTTCTTGGATAAAACCTTCATGGCCTGGGAAAATGAAAGCCGATTTAGACAGAGAAATTAAACTGGACTTGCAAGAATATAACTGGGTTTAATTAAATGAAACGTCAGAACATTTACCTTAAAGACTTAAATAAGCATGTTATTGCGGATGCAAACATGAGTGATGTTGTTACACAAAAACATAAAAGGCATAAAACATGACATTTGTAATGAATAAAATATAATTGTGGTATTCACCCTTGTCTGAGGTCATCTGAAAAGATAAGTCCACAGACAATCAATCTTTTATGTGGTCTCTCAAGGACAGCTCTGTGTGTTTGTGTGTCTGTACGTCTCAATAGAAAAAAGCCCAACGAAATAATGCCTCCTCACAACAAGGAAGCGAATCAAAAAGCAGGGAGGAAGTAACAGCTACTTGATGCTGCATTTTTCCAAAACTTACAGTGCGAAAGTCATTTAACTGCTTATGAATTCACTGCTGACAGTTCAGCTCAGTCTTTGGTCACTATGACCATGCCAGGGCAGAAACCGGGTTTGGCAGAGGAGCAGATCCTCCTCTGGACATGATGTTCATCGAGTGCTGTGCTGGTGTACGTGGGTTTAAATATACGAGTGCACAACTGTGGGAGGGTGGATGATGTGGAGAAATGAAGCATTACTGAGCCACACAGTCATCAGAGAGTTGTCCAGCATTGTTCCACCAGCACAGCTTTAACATGAATGAACACAAAGCATTAATGACGCCTGCATGCTGCTCATTCCAGCCAATTTGTCACTCAGCAAAGGTGGGTGATCATGTACCTACACACTTTCTATACAAATATCCTAAAAACAAAACATAAAACCTTGGGCGACTGCGTTCCTATTCTTCAACAATGAATAACAATAAAAAAAGCTATGAAAAGTAATGAGGTATAAATGTTCGCTGAAAGCTCCCCAGTGCCTTGAGTAAGGTCTCTATCATTCTAATCTGCAGACTAACAAGGATTTTCACAAATAAATAATAATAAATGCGCAGCACTGGCAGCCTCTTGTGAGACAAAGCAAACCAGAACATGTGTTACAAACCGAGTAAAAGACAGAATCATCATTTCTTTTTACAGAAATGTACAGAGCTCAGGCTCCAGCTGGAAGCGAAGATGCTGGCCCCTATTGATCAATGAAAAAATATCCTCCAGGAAATAAACTGTCTGCACAAAAGAAAATAAGAAGGGCGTGGTTTAAATCTGGGTTGATCAAAGCCTGCAGGCTCTTGGATACATAAGACCATGGTTGAGGTTACAGCACATCATACAAGCTTTTGCTGTTTAATAAAAAGGTCAGCAGTTCTGCTATATCCTGCAATATCAAGCTAAGAACCACTGTCAAATAAATTCAGATAATGACTGCCTCAGAGGGAAAAAGCTTTTTATTCATAAGGAGCACCAAGACTAATAATATCATATAAAACAATGTTTTAAAAAGGATTACTCATTGCTTTATTACTAATCATCTGTGTTTGAGGGAAATCTTGATCCAGGCAAACAAAGATATGGATTGGCTACATGAAACATTTTATTAAAAAAAAAAAGGATTTGCTCTTTTTGATCCTTGTCTTCTCAGTTCATTTTGATCTACAATGGTTAGCATGAAGTAAATCTGCAATAACATTTCATGAAAATAACCCAGAACTGAATGCAAAACACTGAACTTTAAGCACTGAAATAACCACGAGATGATTATTTTTATCATCTCGTGCTCTTATACATTTAAAAAAAATGTAAACATGCAAAATTATTGAGTAGGAATAAAACAAGAGAACCCTGCTTTTGCTTGTGAGAGCAAATGCCTGCTAACAATTAGCCCTTTAATTCGGTGCCCCCCCCCCGCCCAATTTTGAATGAGACGAGTGCATTATGCATAAATCTATTTTACTTGGATCCCCTGAGGTTGAGAAACTGTATCATCAAAATTGGATGCACGCCACTCAAGCGGTGAGAAAAGCAATTATACGACCCAGAGCATCACAATGAACCTATTTAGGTCAAAGACCTAAAGTAGTCTGCTGATCAGTGTATTATTTTTATCTTGTAGTCGAAAAATGTGCTCGTAGTGTGTGTCAAACAGCCCACTGTGTGTTTTTACATATGGCAGAGTCTTGATTGTGTGTACTGTTCACGGACTACCGTTGCTCTGCAGACAAAAATCCAAAACATTTCCATGTGAAGCCTTGTTGGATCATCAGGCAACAAAAAGCCCTCTCAGTCCTGCCACTGGGGCGCTTATGAACAGTATGAAGACTCTGTGACAGACCCTTACATACTGAATCAAAAGCTAAACGCAGGAACAAGAACACTGAAGATTAACTCGTGTACTCGTACAAGTGATAGATGGAAAATGCAAGAGGAAGATGAGGTTTTAATCTCTCATTAGCATTAATCTCAGCCCACTGGCACTTGACCTCTTATAGTCCAACACACACTCAAACGCATTTTAACAGGCGAGAGGATCAATGTGACGAGTGGATCAGATCCTTTTCACATTCTTATGATATGAGCACTTTTTAGTTTTAAAATATTGCCACTTTTCCTTCACAGCAATGTTTGCATATATTTGCAACTGGTACATCAAAGCGGACGACTGGAAGTGCTCTCTGAAAGATGAAAAATGTATATAAGGAATCCATGCTTAAGCTAAACAGAAAGGCTAAACAGATTAGCAACAGATTTTCATTAAGTTTGGAGCTCGTTACAAAATAATCGTCAAATGGAAGCCACAGAGGAGTACGGTTTATTACTGAGGACCCTCGATTTTAAAAATCATTTGCATGTGATATAATGATAACTTCAGCAAAACATGTGTTGTATTTCATGAGTAACTAAAGGCTCTTAGTTTAATTTAGTGGACTAAGTTGTGCCCTGCTGTGTGTTTTATGCAAGAGCCCGCTTGTTTTAATATTTCATTCACTGTATGGGTCTATTCCATGTCCTTACATAACCATCCCGTTGTTTACAATCCTGCTTCACCAGATTTATAAGCTCCCATTTTAATGTTTAACTCTGAGCTTCCATTGGCTCCAATTCAAAAATCCATCTTAAATTCGGCCAGGGTTGGCAGCTTAAGTTGCTGTGACTCATCCAAACACATTCATCGTTGTTGCTGCGCAGGGCAGCTTTGTTGTGTTCAAGTCTGAAACATCTTTCATTTGGAGGTTGTTGAGCTTCCAAGAGAACAAATCACCTTGATGGAAACACCTGACCCCTTATGCACGGCTCATTTCCAAACTCTCCCCCGCGGGCCGACCTCAGAGCACTTCATACACAAACCATCAGCAGCACTTCTTTGAAGGAAGATAAACCTGGCGGGGATACGCGTGACATTGCTATGTTTTTAAGTCTCTCTCTAGGCAATTTCGGCAATCCAAGGGGATGAAACTCACGGCTTGGCAACGTGAGGACCAAAAAAAGGAAAGAAAGAAAGAAAATCAATAGTTCTGGTCTTCTGTCTAGACGAGGCTGAAAGCCTCGACCGAGGCTCAAAAGACCGCTGTGACTGTGAGGCACTCAACAACAAGTTGATGAAATACAAAACGACTGCCCTGACTTACATAATGTTTGTCATCATCCTCATTGTAGGCGAGCTTGACCACACCATAGGAGCCCTGTAGAAAAAAAGGAAGAAAACAAATGGTCATGGGTGGTCAAACATAAACCTGCAAGACGCAAAACTCTGTGTTTTACCTCCACATTTTAAAAAAAAGTCTAGAATTAGAAGTGGTGAGGGACTGTAAGATTCTTAAAGCATCCATTTGAGAACAGACGGTAGCACCATACTGACAACATTTTTTCGAGGCAGAACTGTTCCCATTCAAGATCAACATTTTTATTCTTTGGCAGCACAGAATGGCTTCTCCCACACACACGCTTCCCCAGGATGTGTTTACAGTCCTTTTCTGACTTGTTTTCTTTTAGGATAAGTGAAAATAAGTCTCATTACTGCGTGGAAAGCTGGCCAAATGTTCACAGCACCAGAATAAAGTTTTATGAGCCAAAAGCACTGCTTGACTGATTCATTTGTTCTAAGGAAGTTATGTTTAAAGTTTTGAAAAATGTTACTATTTAAGGTTATCACATCAAAAAGAACTCATGAAATCATATGTACACCAACTAAATATATAATCTAATTGTTAATCTGACGCACATCTTTCCTCTTAAAGCTTTAACAATACACAAAGCATTACAATAGGCCTCGGAAATCCCTTTGTTTGTTTGAGATGTCTGCTGAAGAACATTGTTTTTAGCATTCCCTTGCCTTTAAGTGCGTAATTGCCATGTTTCCATCAACAAAAAGCACGAAGCAAACTTTTTAAGTATCTCTAAAAAGGAAAAGGCAAATTATGCATCCTTTCAACGACTCGTTTAAAGCAAATAAACTAACCAGCAAAGTGTTACTATAAGCAATTTTATACATGACTGAACAGAATACAAAATGAAGAATAAGAAAGACACAAAACCAGCCCCATGTAATACATGTTAGAGAAAAATTTGAGAGCTTCTTAGAATTGTTTTATCAATTGGCAGCCATAATTATTCTGTCATGTCAGCTGTTATTGTTCTCAAAACAACCAGAGTAGATCATTCATGTATTCAGTGGAATGTTATTTATTTTTTGCCATGTCAGAATTTAAAAATCACAGAAGTTTTGTCTCAGACTTTTAAATGCAAGAAAATATAAAAGCTGTCTCTCTTGTCAGGGAAGCTTTGAAAAAGCTGTTCAATCAGTTAGCATGACTGAAATAAGCATGCTAGTCATAGCATTAAGATAAAAAATAAAAATGTATTAAACACAGTTCTAGCAAACGACTAAAGATTCATATTCACTTGTTGGTAGTAATATGATTTATTTATGGACAAGACATAGAAGCTGAACAAGTCTAATAGAATTTATGTTTTAGACAAGCAAGTTGAGATTACATGGCTACAGATATCAATAAACTATTGATACAGTGTGGGTAAAGATCTGAATGGGTTTTACATTCTCGTCCTTCAAACAAATCATTTTTTTGTAAAAACGAGTGATTCCAGGAGAAGTTTCAGCCCATGGAAACAATATTTTAAAAAGGTGAACTTACGAAGATCAGCTCTTTTTTTTTTAGATTATTCATATTTTATAAATCAGCAGCACAAGACTCGGGTGGACTGAATTAAAGATATATACTTGATTCACATGACATCAAACACTAAATCTGTTGAGATTTTGAAGCCATGCGTTCAGAGTTTTCACCAGTATTTTGGTCTTTTGAAACTGTCTGTTATGAGCAAAAGATTTTACACAAGCAAGGATGAAATATTTATTTCTATTTGCTCGTTATGTGTGGGTATGTCAATGTCTAAACCTAGATTTAGGTTGCATATTTAGCACCTAACTTGCTATGAAATACTCTCCTGAAGTTTTTATAAGAATACACACCGACAGCTTTCCATTGTTCCTGGTCTGTTTAGGTAAGCGTTTATTTGGTGTGTGGATCGATAAGACATGTTGAGTTTTTCCATCATAGGGAATTTGTGCTTGCACACATATTTCCCTTTGGAATTAACAGATCCAAGACCTGCTGCTGATCTCACAAAGGGGCATGTCAGCTGGTGGAAACCACGTGACAGGCTCAGGAAACCACTCTTCAGTGGGGTGTCTTGGTTGTGAATAATCTCTGAGAGCAGAGGATCTGGCTAAAAAGATCATAAACTACATACACATCCACTGCAGCTCTTTATATTCAATCAACATAATAATGCCTGAATGCTGGTACGTCTATTTAACATAAATGAGACAGTCAATTCACAAGTTCTATGTAAACTGCAGTAAACCAGTATAACCTTCTTGTTTTTATAATAACAGGAGTCAGTACCTGATATGGATTATGATACAGGCTAAAAGAATGGGCTTTCATTTTTAAAACAATAAGAATACACTATGAAGAAAAAAAGAAAAAAAACAGCAGCGATGTTGCTTGTGGCTTATAAAGTATTAACCTGCAGTCTGACATACCCACAAACTGAAAAACATTACGCCTAAAAAGAAAGACCACAAGATCTTAAATAGAGGGCTCGTATCTTGTTTTACTCGTCACCCTGAAGAAGCTGTCGCCCTAAATGGGCTTCAAGTGTAACTACTGAGAAGGGCTCAATTTCCTGTACATCCACTGTGCAAGCAGTCTGCATAAAGCCAAACCTCACAGGAGCTGCTCTTCTTAGAGCACTTGAAATAAAGCTGCGATAAATGACAGGGGTCACTTGAACTCACCTTTCCGATCTCGCTCTTCAGTTTGTACTGGTTCAACTGGATGCAATCCTGCATGTAGGAAGAAAAAAGATGCAGACTGAATCATGAACATATAAACAGCAGCCGAGTTACTGATTTCAGTACCTTTGCAAATCGAAAATGAACCCACTTTGGAACAACAAATTCTTAATATGGGCCTCCGTGTGAACTGAAAGTAATTTATTTCCAAGACGTAGGTAACGATGTGCTCTGTAGTCTCTGTTTACTGTCTGCACATCCATTAGAGTGCTACTGCTTAGATGCCCGATTTGCAGCTCCATAGCAACCACCGCTACAGAACAGAGTCAGCCAGGGGCATGGCAGTGGAGAGCAGACCACAGCAGGACCGGGAGGAGGAGGAGGAGGAGGAGGAGGGGGAGGGAGAAGACGAAAGGGAAGGTGATAGTTTGATGGTGGCAAGCTTTTCATGAAGGGGGCAGCCCTACGAGCGGAGACGCATAAAAGTCAAAGTAATGAGCAGAAAGTGAGCAGGGAGATCAAACTGTAGAGAGAAGGGGATTCAAAGCAGTCCTCTCATTACACCTGGGGGGGGGGGGGGGGGGGGGGGCAGTGGCTCATGAGCCAGACCAGCGCCTGAGGCTTCATCCTGGAATGTGTTTATGGGACGTGGGGAGGTGGCAGAGTTCAGATGTAAAGTTACAGTGTTGAAGGACTCAAAATGTAACCGTGACAAATGGTTTGGAAAGAAATTTGAGAGAATATGAAAAATACAGACAGATAACGTGCATTTGACAGAAGATGTGAGTTCATCAGAGAGACACACACCGTCGGCTGTGAGCCTGCAGAGCAATGTGGGCAGAGATTACAAAAAAAGCGGACAAAGAGAATGGAAGATGGGGGTTTTGGAAGTTAAGTGAAACTCAGAAAAGGATTTCTTTGATTGGCTGAGGAGAGATGAAAAGAAACAAAGATGTAGAGTGGAGAAAGATAGGGGAGGAAATCAAATGAAAAGAGCAGTAGGAGGGATAGTCGGATGATTTCTGCTGGGTTCACAGTTGCTGGCACATGCTCAGTGGATGCAGCACTGCAGTCAATACTCTGTCAGGGCTGATAAATAAAGAAGGTCCTGTATAATTCAAGGCCTAACCTTAAATACATTTGCAGCACAGGCACACTTTGTATTCATTAACCAAACTAAGATGGTCAGTGTTTTTTTTCCCCATTTCATGCTGGACTTTTCTAAGTGCCAGCCTCCCTTTTTTTCTTTTCCCCTCACAACTCAGTTTTATTCTGCCTTGCGTCAGATCTGGGGCAGGCCTTTGTTTTCTTTGTCCATTACCATATGACTAATCAGTCAACGCATAATTAATATTTCACAAAAGTCAGTACCCAAGAATTACGATTAAGTATGTCCAGAAAACATCAGGAAAGGAGAATTCAAAACCTAGAGGTGAAAATCATTTCCACCCCAGTTAAAGATCAGATATGATAAAGTGGCATTAGCTTAAATTCAGTTTTCTATGATGTGGCATGACTGGGAGCTGCAAAAAGCATGAGTAAAAATCCCTTAGCTGGTTCTGTTCCAAACATATAGTTAGTCACACATAAGGATAAAGAGATTTATGATGCTCTGTTTTTGGTTAAAAGCCAGTAACAATGTTTCAGGCTGTGCAGATGCAAGAGCTCAGAGTGCTCAGGGAACTGTTGGTGTAGTTCATATGAACTTCAATTAGCTGTTTGTGGACGTTTAGTAAGCAGTTTGTCTGTAATGGTTGGTCTGAGGCTCCATTTGCCTTTGTAGTTGCATTTTTTTTAGCAAATACTGCACCGGTGCCATGTTTGGCTTCATGTGACTCAGAGCTCTCATTTAATTTCTATTGTGTATTGTACTTGTATACCAATACACATATTTAACACATTATAATTCATCTGTTACCCTTGCCCTGACAAAATCCCCCTGGATTACGTTAATCCCAATTTTAATCTACCAAACTGAAAGTTTACAGTGTAGAAAAGTTTAACCCCGTTCCCTGGGTGGGAGACAATTATGTGTGCCTCGTGTATACAAAACATAAGTAAGTCATAGAAACAAATGCTGGGAATGAGAATGTATAAACAGTTTTTCTCAGGTGGCTGCATGTAGGAATTCCAGAGATCCGTCCAGTGTTTTTAAGAAGGGAGGGGATACATGACAATAAGTCACTCTTACTGACTTTTAGATGCCCTGAAATGTTGCCCAGCATACCAATGAAATGCTCAGCAGTCATCATAACACATGATTGATGTTTGTGAAAGCAGGAAATGTTGCTCACACTTGCTATACAGTTAGATCCAGAGGTAAAATATAACCAACAAGTACATTTTATGGCTCAGTGCAAGATTGATAGAAACAGACACAATGACAGGTCTGGGCATCTGTGGAAGCAGTGTGTTAAATTCATAGGGGCTCCACATCCTGGCAGAGCTCATGAATTCTTAATGTTCACTGTGAATTGGAAAAGGCAAGTGGAAAATTGAGATTCAAGGGTCATCCACTGCCAGATGATACTCGGAATATATTTCAAGTTAGCATAAAATGGTTATCAAGTTAGCATGAAACTAATTTATGCTCCTTGTTACGCAATGTGTGGTTCCCATATGATACACATACTGATAATTAGAGAGATAATAGATAAACTTGAATTTACTTTAACAGTTTAGCCTTCAAATTAATAATTTCACTTAATCGATAAGGTTGTTCTTCATGGTCTTGCCTGGTGTTAGCTAACAGGGCCGATACTACTTTAGTTCAAAGAATAAACATGTGAAATAACTTAAGATCTCACTTATTCACAAAGAATCTTCTTATTACACTTTGGCATTTATTATTCTTTGGCATCATCAAAAATGAGATTAAGATGATGCATATCATATAGGGATGAATGCTGGCTTGATTTAGCTCACTTTAGCATCTTATTGCTTTAACTTCATAATTAGCATATGATAGTTATGATGCTAAGCATGCCGTCTTAATAAGAACGCAATGATTATAGGTGCATTTGGACATATTGTTAGTTAAAAATAATTGAAAAAATCAATACAAATTGAACACAATATGAAGAAATTACACTAATGTGGTGCCAAAACAGTGTATTATGATGTTAAGATATGTATTCTAGTTAGCATTCTAATATTCAGTGCTGGCCAGTGCCTTTGTGCAATACCACTTTTAAGGGAAAAATTAAGCAGTAGTAAGTCTGTGTAGTGTTCAAAACATCTCAAATTGTCCTTGCACTCATCATACTGCCTCATACTGGCAAAACTAGATTGGGGAACAGCGGGCTACTGTGGCTCCTGTTGCCAGATTCTTGAGTGACTCTGCAGCGTGTAAAAAAAAATTTTTTTACTTTGATGAAATTTAAGAGGCCTGCCACTGTTGAGCAGGATGGCTTGGAGACGAGCCAGCCAGCTATGGCTTGGCACTATTTTTCTTGTCTCACTGCTGTCTGCCGCCCACTGTAGATGACAACAAGGGCTGCAAAGCAGAGTCGCACAGCTTATCCAACAGATCATCATGCAGATTAATACTTAATTCATTTCTGTGGTGTAGCAGTGTCCAGCTGTGTCCTCTTGATTGATTCAATTATAATTTAAATCAGCATTAAAACTCAAATATGAAATCATAATGTAAAAGGCTTCAGGGGTATTTACAGACATTGACCTTTCAATAGATATACATTATGTAATAGGAACTTATAAGATGATACCGACGTGATTAACAAAGAGGCAAGACTCCTTACATCAAGCCAAGCTCTAAAAACATGTTTGATTAAGACATAATGCTTATATATGCAAATATGCACACCAGGGATTTCCATTGCAGTGTGTGAAACATTAATGTTTCATCCTGACTCCATTAAAACCTCCAGTTCAGCTGAACTGCATTATATGCAACAGTGGGTTCGGCTGGCGAGTACTCGTGGTGAGTAACCACTTTATGTCCCACTTCCACACCAAATGCAGACATTCATATTTCAAGTTTTCCAATTAGAGGATTAGAGAAAGACAGACCTAATATTTTTTTCCTGTTCTGCACGCAGCATTATTAATGTTTCTGCAAAGGAAAAACCTTTGGCCACGTAAGCAATCATTTACAATTACTGAACTGTCGTAAAACCGAAAGCCTCACCTGAGTATCTGATATGGACACCCTTTTAGACTCCACCGTGGGTCTGCGAGCCACACGAGGTGAGACGTGTGTGGAGCCTGCTCCAGGGCTCGAAGAAACATAAGTGCCCCTCTCCTGAAGCGACAGCTTCCTCCCGGTCAAGTGAGGACGTGATGCCGGGGTCCTCTTGGCTTGAGTCCCTTCGGGCTCTGACTTGCCGTTCTTCACGCCGTTAGCGGCCGAGCCGCCGGCGTCTTTTGTCGTCATGGCAGCCATGATGTCTGTAAGACTATGCGTCTGTAAGGCAGAGTCGGGCTCCAGCCTCTCACAGCCAGGGTCCCTACTCATAGCCATGGCACCCGGGGGGGCTGGAGGTGGTGCAGAAGCAGGTGGTGCTGGGACAAGTAGGGAACACCTACCGGCATCAACGTGACCCCAGCCAGCCCGCGATCCTGATGTTCATGGTCTCACCAGAACTGGAAAAATAAGGCAGAAAGAGAAGAGGAGCGGATGTGAAGCATTAAAAGATTTTAGTGAAGTGAAATGCTCTCTTTGTAGGCTTTGTATACGTCTACCTTCAGTAGACATATGCTGGTCAATTTAAATATATGTCAGAAATAATAAAACCCAACCTTTTCATTGCAAAGTTAATTACACGCTGTGCCTTTGGTCATGGATCTGTGAGACTCAGTGACACAGGCAGACCGACATGGATACTTTTAATAGTGTCCACATATTTAGTGGGATGAGCTTAATGTGCTTTCACTGTTTCTTCTCTCATGTATTATCCAGCACATTTGGTTCAGGGTTTGCATATTTAGGGAAACGGATACAAAATGAGTCAACAAAGTGAAAAATGACTAATCCCTCACTGTAAAACAGTCGTCCAGCAGGAATCTGTAGTATGTTAATCTCAGAGGGGCCAAATGAATCTGCATTTCTAGATTTGAAGGCCGAGGTCTCTTCGGAGATATTCAGTAAATGGGCCGCCACATGCTATTCCTGAAGTGTGTCACAAAGACACTTCTACATATTTAAAAATAACTGTGTTCCACATTGTCCAGGTGTGTCGTAGTCATTCATGCATTCGGACAGCTACATTTCTACAACAGCGGCTCGATATCAAACTGGAACATTGTGCTTGTGGCACAGCTCTAAGTGGGAACCACTTGGGTCCTTATCCGCTGTCTGTACTGTTATTTCAAATGGAACCAAACTGGAACAGTGTTGGTACAAGAAGCCACTTATAAGGAAAAAATATGAAAACTGGCAATCCAATATTTCTATGCCCGTCCTTGTCAAAAAATGCTCTGTGAAATGGGCACCATGCCGTTATTGAGTCCACCTAAAGCTTGGCTAAAAGGAGGTCATCGACGGGACAATTATCTCAAACAAAGCAGCAAATCTATTACAGAAAGTCTGGAAGAGAAAAGAATCAGGGCGTTATATGCAGGTCAAAGTAGATAATAAAGGGAAAATAATGGCACCACTAATAAAAACCTGACAACCATGGCAACTGCGATGTAACAACTAATTCAAACAGTGGGTTGGGGTGACAAAATGATCCATGACTCAGTTTACAAAAACAGTCATGAGGTCATGAGTTAATACAGGTATAATCACTTCACACAAATCTGATACCGTTAAGTGATTCTGGTGTCTCTGAGCCTGCAGCGCACCCGGCAAAATTTGCCCAATTCCATTTGCATTTTTCAAACAGCTGTTCCTCAAATTACATCATTTGCAACTGCGGGATGAAAGGTTGAAACCGGCAGCAAGAGGAACCGTATTGTCTGAATCATGAATCACTTGAGGAAAACAAAGCGGAACTGTCACATTTAGCCAATTCTGATCGCAGCCAGTGATTATGTGTCTCCCGAAACTGGTTCTCTCCACCGCAGCCCCATTCAGCGCCGCTGCACGCGTGAGCGATATCCTGCTGGAGGTGGGAGGCGGAGGAGAGCCAGTGGTCTGGTTCTTCCTTTTAGCTGCACTGCGACTTATTGTTTACAGAAGCACACCTTTCTATATTTCTATCACAAAGGACAATTTTTTTTTTTCTCGTCACAATATTTTTTTTCGTCTCGCAAACCTTTTCTTGTTTGCAGCCTTCATCCACCGTCGGTTCCACCTCTGGATGGAACGGCTGTGATATGGGGACTCTCCGGCAGCCATAATACAGAGATAATATTCTAGCTTTTAATGCCCGGAAGGCAGAATACATTTTCTCAAGCATAGAGCCAATACACAATTCAATCAATATGGTCGACTACCTTTGGAAGCTTTCCAACTGGGAGGAGGCCCCGGGGCAGACCCAGAAAACACCGGAGACATCCTATCTCTCTCCTGGCTGCCAAGTAATAGCTGTGCTTTGCATAACTTATACCTTCAAAAGCAATACCGCCAGTTTCGCTTTCTTTTCCATTTAGGTTAATCCACCCGAGACAGTTTTTACGCACTTGAAAGTGAAATGGCTTTCATGGTGTCTTTCACAACGCCATAAACTTCCTCCAATAACAGAATTCAGCAGACACGAACAGAACCGGGGAAAATAAGCCAATTAAAAACGTGCAACAACCAAGATCTACAAATCTTACAATCTCTTCTTTTCGTTGGCTCCGTCTTGTCGTGGAAACCACTGGGTCCACCAACGAGACACAGGTCATGATTAAATAATGTTCTCCTGTTTGGTGAATAATTAAAAAACCTTGGCAACTGACAAAATACACTCCTGCCGGGAGCAGATTTTAATATTTCCAGCTCATATGAGTGCGTCTTTGAAAACAAGTGCAAAATTAAAAACAAGCACAAAAATATACAGGCATATTTCACATTGGAGAATTGACTGGTTTTACTGCTTTTTTTTAACTGAGGATTTTTGATGAAAATAAAATTACAATGAGAGGGGGAGGATGAGCTGTGGACATGAAGGAATGAGTCTATTTTGCTCCAATTACTAGACCTTCACCCCTAACCTGCATTAATGTGGTCTCCCTGTCCTTTGGAGAAGACAAAATAAAAATATCCAAGGCTAAAAACAGAGCAAAATGCTGTATTCAGAGAGCTTTGTCATAACAAAGGCGTTCATTTATAATACTTCCACTTCTGTTCTGGGTTTGAAATGACTTCCTCTAAGGTCGATGACACAGTCCAACGAGCAGGATTAGAACATGTTCATCTGAAAGCTGAATGCTCCCTGGATAATCCAACACAAGCCTCTGACCTGCAAGAACGGCTGTATTATGCTTTCTGAAGAAATACAGCGCGTGCGAGGAGAGGCTGTGTGCTGAAAGCATGTTTGCTTCTATAGGAAGGAGTCACCGCTCATGAGAGCTGAACGATTTTCAACTGCTCACATGTTTTTCCAGCGAAGCACAAAGATCTACATGAAAGTTCCATAGAGGGTTTGCCGTCAGACAGCAGACAGGCTTCCCTGGGCCGTGAGATGGAAGGCGTGAGCACATACGGTGCCTGTGACAAGCTGTGAACGTCTGATGTGGAACAGAGCTCTGTATTGATGGACAGCGCATACTGTGGCAACCTGCCTGCAGAGTTTCAGATCAGACACAGAACGGCGTTGGAAGGTTACCACGGCACCCCGGGGGGGGGGGGCCACAGCGCTGAGGTCACCCTGATACCAATAAGAAGCCAAGAAAGAGGAGGACGCACTAACCTGAGATGATAACTGGTTCAGTTCGCTGGTAAAGGTCTAAATATGGTCGATTTTGGATTCATCATCTCTGCCAATACATGAACACCTCTTGGTTTTTTTATGTGATCAAATGTCACAGGATAATCTTTCCACTGATATTTCCTGATGCATAACGCAGATGAATCATACAATAAGCACTTCCTCTTGTACATTTTGGCACTTTCATTTTATCTAGCTGAGTTACTCAGCGAGCAAAAAGGGAAAACATAGCCTCTCTCAGAGAACTTCCCATAAAGACAAAAAGTTCATATAACTAACAGAGCTGTTGATGTTACTTTTGTCCTCAGGCTTAGGGGAAAAAAATAAATAGTTTTCCTGCCGTTTGTGCTCTTGTAGCTTTTATTTGATTCCTCCTCGTTGTTTATTTCCAAATTGAGAGACTACCTCTTCCACTGAATGGCAGCAGAAGGGTTGATGAGCAAATCTTTGGTGAAAATGAATGAAAGAATGTACTATTATCAGTTCATTATGAAGCTCGTTTGTTAGCTTCAAACACGTTTAATGTGTTTTTCACATTTCTTTATTGTACAAAAAACGACAGACTAATGCTGCATCACAAAGAGATTTGTTTGTTTTTCTAGCGATTTAACACTTTATTTCTGACCTGAGGGCCCAGCACACAGCCATTAATGTATCCCTAATCAGAAACAGAATAAATGTAAGCCGATCAAGATAAATTACAGTAAACGGGTGGTGTCTTATCTTGGGGTCAAAAGGTCAATAGAGGCAGGTTTTTGAGCCGTGATCCTTCCTGCAGATCCTCCAGGCCCAGACAAAGTTATAAACATTCACAGTCCCGCTCAGCTCACGCATTCATCAGAGCTTTTGCGAATACTTACTCGAATTATGCTCACTGGTACTCCATTGGTGTCTCAGCAGACACCAAATGTAAATATCAGGACTAGAAGGAAAGCTATGCCAGACTTCCACCCCATTTAAATAAAGTATTCACCAGAAAATCACAAATTGAAAAGAAATCTGAGCGAAAGGACGAATTTCAAAATGACCGGGTGTCCAGATAAATGATGATCAATTAAGATAATTTGAACAATAAAATCTGCTTAAGTTCTTTGATCATTTTAAGCACATTACTGTCAGATCTAATCATCAGGCCAGAGGCAGCTGTGAAGAAACTGCTGACCATTAAAGACTGCCTGAATGCAATCAGTCCTCTTTATGTGCTCCCGTTCGTTCCAAAATGTTTTCAAAATAACCAGGATTCAGTGCCCAAAAGTCCAAAGATCCAACATTTGTGAGTTGCCTGGATGGACATTGTGTTAAGTTACAAGAGCCAAAAACCTTGTAAACATTTGGACGCAGGTTTTTCAGACTGCACACACTTTAACCTGGCCGGTATCCATATTAACGGAAAGGTCACAGACCCAAACCAACAAATCAATTCAAACTCTCTCATGATCAAGCAGGAGCTCTTTGGTCTTTTCCATCCAGTAGCTCAGCTCCCCCCACCGAATGCCTCCCCCTGTCAGATCCCATTTTATTAGACACACAAAAAAGAATGCTCTCACAGACCAGTCTACTCAAACCCTCTCACTATAATGGAAAAAAAATATTAAAAGGAATAAAACCCCCTACAGACATTCACACAGTCGGATTAGACCCCCCGCCTCTCCCTCCAAGCCCCTCCAGTTTCTATAGACAGTTGATGACAATTATGCCTCATCACTGTTGACAGAGAGACTCATTCATACAGATCAGAGTAAACAGCTTATTAATTCACACAACTGTGAGCGAGAAAAAACGGATC